TTATGCCTTCAGGACCAGAGCAGAGTTGGGGAGGAGGACAGGTGCAGGCCTTCATCACCCTTCAGAGGGGTGAGCGGAAGGCATACTGGCACCATGTGGGGATGGGCTCATTGCCAGCTTCTAAGGAGCCTTTTCCACTGGCAAGCGGAGCCTGGATGGAGCTCATCGGGCAAAGCCGAGCGGAGCTGAGTGGAGGTCCACAAAATTAATTTGAGTCAAACACATACACACTAGTTCTTGCTCCAGCCGAACTACTGACCAGACCACACTTCTGGGCAGGACTAGGGGAGTTACACTGCTATCTTTCAATTTCTAGTATTTCTCAACAACTAAGAGATCACTGAGTAACTGGGGCCTCAACCAACACCCACGAAGCTGTCATGAAGGAAGTCTCAGGAGCTGCTCCCAACTCAGGAAGCCGACAGCTACTCAAGGTCTGACCCCAGAAATTACTCTGTTCTGAAGCAACTAACACAAGAGCAGCTCCTCCCCAGCTCAGAGAAGCCCTGCACAGGGTGCTGCTCTCTCCAGCCCCTCACCTAGAGGGCTCGTGACCCCTACCAGTTCTTATAGAAGCGCCTCTTGCACTCTTCACTGATGTGCTCGGCAAAGACTGTCTTGAAGGTACGGAGGCCTCGAGGGGTTTCCACGTAGCCCACAATTCCCACAACCACCATGGGGGGTGTCTCCACAATGGTCACCGCCTCCACAACTTCCTTCTTGTTCACCTCTGCAAAGAAAGGCACCCTTGAGCAGGCTGACTGTAACTGCAACAGGGGGTTACGGAGTCTTAGAGAGAAAGACGTTAAGTGCTCTTTGAGGCCTAATGGGCAACTTGTTTCAGAAAACAGTCTGCAGAAGCAGGGCCCTGGACTCCCAAAACTGTCCTTACTGCGTCCTTCTCCATCTGCGTAATTTATACATTCAAGTTAAAAACTTTAAGAACCCTAGGGAGGCTTCAGTTCTGATTCACCTCAGAAATCTCTAGAAGCAAATTCTTTATTGCCTAAATACAAGAGTACTAAGGAAGTAAAATGGGATGTTTTAATAGCTGAGCTTGGTGTAAACAATACTAACATTATTATCTACTACGGTTCAGTAACTGGCACCATTTCTTGGCAACTTATCTAGTCTGACCTTCACCAACCAGGTACACAGGTGGTATTCAAGCCTTTAAGTGAGGCTCACAATTCAGCACTCTTGTCAACATGGAATTTCTCAAGACCCCGCAAGGACAATCTCCCAAGTTACATTACACCTCTATGCTGTGACTCGACAAAACTACAGTTACTTGACTCAATACATCCGTCCACCTAAAGCAAGCAGTGCCAGCCTCTGTAGCCTGGGAATGCTAATCAGTTTTAAAATGTTATTCCCACCCTCAAGAGGTCATTACTCTTAAGAATCTGTCCTTTTGTGACAGCGTACCTCCATCTAGTCTATCCCCATCCCCACCACGAGCCTAGAAGACACTAATGGGCAACTTGTTTCAGAAAACAGTCTGCAGAAGCAGGGCCCTGGACTCCCAAAACTGTCCTTACTGCGTCCTTCTCCATCTGCGTAATTTATACATTCAAGTTAAAAACTTTAAGAACCCTAGGGAGGCTTCAGTTCTGATTCACCTCAGAAATTTCTAGAAGCAAATTCTTTATTGCCTAAATACAAGAGTACTAAGGAAGTAAAATGGGATGTTTTAATAGCTGAGCTTGGTGTAAACAATACTAACATTATTATCTACTACGGTTCAGTAACTGGCACCATTTCTTGGCAACTTATCTAGTCTGACCTTCACCAACCAGGTACACAGGTGGTATTCAAGCCTTTAAGTGAGGCTCACAATTCAGCACTCTTGTCAACATGGAATTTCTCAAGACCCCGCAAGGACAATCTCCCAAGTTACATTACACCTCTATGCTGTGACTCGACAAAACTACGTTACTTGACTCAATACATCCGTCCACCTAAAGCAAGCAGTGCCAGCCTCTGTAGCCTGGGAATGCTAATCAGTTTTAAAATGTTATTCCCACCCTCAAGAGGTCATTACTCTTAAGAATCTGTCCTTTTGTGACAGCGTACCTCCATCTAGTCTATCCCCATCCCCACCACGAGCCTAGAAGACAGCGAGTACATACTGGATCCCGGCCTATCGACCTCCCGCACAATGTGGGTCATGCCAGCCTTGTAGCCCAGAAAGGCTGTGAGGTGGACGGGCTTGGAAGGGTCATCCTTGGGGAAGCTCTTCACTTTCCCACGGTGCCGGCTGCTGCGTTTCCGAGGTAAGAAGCCCAGGGACCCATGTCTGGGAGCAGAAAACTTCCTGTGAGACTAGGAGAAAATCATCGTTAGCACCCGAACCTCTAAGCAGCTTTCACTGATTACCACCTTGCCTAGGCCTGTGAGGATTCTCAGCAATGCTGAATCCAGACCAGGTGACACCCGAAGGAGCGGTTAACAGATTTACATGCTGGGTAACATCCACTTTACTGGGTCACACATCCTGAAGGAAGTATTCAACTACAGGAGTTGAACCCTTTTTACAAGTCATCACTTTATCCCTTTACAACTAAAAAAAAAATCGCCTTCTCTAAATGGGACAAAAACTGCTATTAAAAATCGTTTAACAGGACTTTATGGGCAAGCCAGCAAGACTGACCAGAAAAGGGACTTTTGGACAAATGGCTGGGGAGCGGATAATGCTGGCAAAGGCTCCTCTAGCTGGACTGATACCCGTAGGCCATTAGAATTCGACACAGCCACATCAGAACCTGACAATCAGCACACAGTCTCTGTCCGCCCGTCAATAAGTTCATCATTTGCGGTTTCTGCGAACTTCAGAGGCCCTTACAAGTCCTAAGCGCAGCCTCAGCCATTTCAGGATGAGGCCTCAAACCCTCACCCAAAGTCTCCCATTTAACCCCCCATTTAACAAGGCCAAGCGCCCCCACTCGAAGTCCTCCTGGACCACATGATTTGACTCTGAACCCAACCAACACTAAATTGGTGAGGTCGCGACCCAGTAACCATTTGTAGCTTTAAAATTACTGAGGTGTCTCAAGGCCTCTCGACAGCCGACGCGCAGGCCCAAGGCCGACCACTGGCCTGGGGTGTTTTCAGAAAATAGGCCTGACTGCGGATCCCCCTGAGTCCCTCATGCTCCTAGAGCAGGCCCCCGGAGCCGGCCGGGCCGAGATGCCGCCGATGCGCCGCGGATTAAGCCTCGCCCTCGCCGCCGCATAAGAGAAGGAGGAAGCAGCCACAACACCTACCATCCCGCCGGAGAAGGCTGCCGGTAGAGGTCGGGTGGCTCTCCTCCAGCCGTATATG